GGGGCGAGCGGCGGGGCCCACAACACGGCGAGCCTGCGGCCCGGGGTGCGGAGGCGAAGCGTGTTAAACGACAAAAAATAGCCAAAACAGAAGGAAAAATACAGATTCCCGTGGTTTAAAGATGAAGAATTGCAGTCGTCAGCGCGGCTCTTCAATCCATGACGAGCAGGTGGTATTTCAACGGCCAGTTCAAGCCCTGTAGCAGACCGTTATGACATAGATGTGTATTTTATGAAACGACATGGCATTAAATAGTATTTCGTATCAATATGGAATAAGGTTGGGTAATGCCGGGAGGTTGCCATGCTTCAGTACGTGGAGTTTTCAGGTGTTTTCACTTGCAAATGGATGGCGTTTCCGCAGGCGGGGTTAGATTATTTTTGGAACGCAATATAACCGTCAGATTTCTGCAGGTTTGGTATTCAAACTGCGGTACGGTAGCCATGAGAACGGGATGTTTCTCTCCTTGTAGAACCAGATTAGAGTTTTCTTCCTTTTTTCAAGAGGCATTTTGCTTGCTTCTCAGACCAGCAACCATATCAACTGTTGTCAGATTAAGGTTAAAACGATCAGCAGAGATATAATATCCTTAATTTAATAAAATTTATTGACATTAGTAAGAAATAAATTGAAGGAAATAACACTGTTCTCAAAGTAAATTTTTCTTTTGTTCTAGAATTCAGTTTCTAAGGTACGCAGTCACCCCTGAGAGTGTTTAATTACGTGTTACATTTCTGCATGTTCAGATGCAGTCTTTGCATATTCTGATTCAGCTTTACAGTCTGTTTCAGTATACTACAAAAAATCCGTCATGATGCCTCAAGTGAAACCTTAAAAACTACGAAAAACTGCCGCCTCCTGCTTCAGTTCACAGGGGCAACACGCGAGAGGAGAAAGCCCACAGTCAGGGTACTCATCCTTTTTTTCTCTGCCAAGAGCCCCAGCCTCTTTCATTAAATCCATTTCTTCCCAGCACACGTCGGTAATATTCACTCATCCTATACTTTCCGGTCCTGAGTTTTCTGCTGTCAAAAGGTAAGTTCTCAAGAATTACAGGCTTTGTAAGAGCTATTGTCACCATAGTAGCTCTCACTTGCCGTAGAAGCTGGCAGAATTTTGCGTTAATTCCAAGGATGCAGTTTCTTCTAACCACGTCTCACATGTGCATCAGGAACTGAATCATCTGTTGCACCGACCCAGCTGGCCTCTCCATTACGGGCCTGCAGCGTACGATTAACATCTCTTCATTGCCTCGCCTTAAAAAAAACAACTACTATTGTACAACAGTTATGATAATAAAAGTTCAAAAAAGCAGAGCAGAATTATAGTCATGGTATCAGGATACGGAAAATAGGATTTTAAATTTAGTTTTAGCAAGCTTTCTTCTGGATCATACGTGGTTTGGCATGTCAGTCTACGTTTTCACTGGATCGGCCTCGTCTTTCACAGGTAACAGAAAGCCAGCAAACCTTGGCTCTGGTTACTTGACAGAAACGCAGTTACACATTCGTACCTCATCTAGCTCACGCAAGGTAACTGCATGGAGTCAGTGTAGGTATGCCACTGAGCTCTGAAAGCAATGCAAAAATCCTGCCTGTTTCACCAGTAAAGCTTTCTAGTGCAGATGTGGCCTTAGGCCAAAATACTTCTAATGAAGTTTAGGGATATGGTGTAGGGATATATCAAAAGCTGCAATTAAATATTTTTTTTTCCCTTTAGCTTGCACACTTGTTCAGTAAGGTTGCCACAACCACTGCGGTTCCCAAGAATCTCTGCTCTTTGGCTCATTCAAAGACCGGACACTTAAACAGCAGTAAGGGAAAATTTAAACATCAGCTGAGCAGGTGCAAGGCAGCCCTGGAGTAGGTATTTGACAGATTAGAGAGCATAAACACGTCTTCCAATGAACCTGGGTGAAGTGAACCTCATGTTCATTACTATGACAGGCCGTCTTTGAGTAACACTTGCAAGATCAGCAATGAAATGCGTTTGATGGATGGCAGAAGCAGCAAACAAAAGTTGTTTTGTTTTGGGTTTGGGTTTTTTTATTTTGAGCAGCTTAACACAAAAGCAACTACCAAAGCCCAGCAACCACATTGACAGGTGGTATTTTGTTTTGTTTTATGAAGATACTTCATGCGTAGCAAGGTTGAAGCGTATGTTGAGAGGGAGAATTTGCATCTCTACTGTAGAAATGAAGCGTGGTTTCAAACTACAAGTTTCTCATGTAATTATTTACAGAAGGAAGATGCCTGCTACTCCGACTTGTTTCAGGTCACCATTTACATAGAATTGGAGCTCTTCACAAGTTGAGTAGAAAGGACATAGGCACCAGGCACAGTGGGTGGCAGTACGCACCTTCGGGTGCTAGGAAGAAGGAATTGTCCAAACAGCGTAATTGCAGCTGAAACAAGTATGTTGCTTTGGATCCATATTATTTAAAGTAATTAAGACAGTCATCAGAGGAACAGCACCTGCAACATGCAATACATATCTTAGTCTTTCTGCCTCTTCTTCACCACATGCTCCCATTAATTCCAGGTCTCTAGACTCAAATCTTGAGTAGTTCCAGGAACACATTTGTTTCTTCCTGTTTCCCGATTAATCTTTTCTGGAGAGTTGAATAGAATGGCCCACAGGAACATCCCAGCTGAAGTCTGCTAAATAACCAGGCAGCCCTTCTTACCCCTTTTCCAGTTTGCAGATATAAGAAGGGGCTTTCTTCAAGGCTGTGCAAAACCATACAGCACAGTATCTACAGCTGCTTTTAACTCTGGGCATAAGAGCAAAGTCACGTAAGGGTCCCAGATCAGCAGAGTAAAAACTGCTGAATTTTCTTCTAGCAGAGATCACTGCAGTATTATATATGTGGTCTCGAAGGCCAAGAGGAAGCACCTGCTCAGTGAAGCTCAGGATTGCTCAGATGTGTTGAAGGTCCTCTTCACGGTGAATTCACAAAGCTCATTGCACATTGTCTTGTTAAAAGTTGGAGAAATTCACACTATTTTTCCCGAAAAGGCACAAATACTATTCAACCACTTGGCTGAATTTTGGGTTTGTTTGTTTGGGGTTTTTTTTGGCAAAGCCGTGCCAGACAACGGATGGATGCATACACAGGGACACTCACACTAACTTCCCAGCAAAACTAACAGCTTCAGAAGTGGAAAGAAGACTGCTCCCTGCCAGCCTGCCTTGGGAACCGCACCAGGCCAGACCCAGAGTCTTCAGGCAATAATTTGCAATGGCTTTTTGCAAATTAAACAGTTTGAAATCTCAGCAGCTGGCTTACTTTCTATTTTTTTTTTCCATTATTTTGCTCGACTTTTCAATGATTTTACCCTTTGTTTCCATCCATTTGTGAATGCACTGAATTAAAATGTTTCACTTCTACAAATTGCATCTGCATTCTCATTCTATGTATGTATCTCAAAGACCCCTGCTAAGTATGTATTTGGAAATGGTGTTTTAGCTGTTTAATAATGCTTTTTGGGTGGAATGTCTACATACCTAGTGCTCCGGGCTGAAATCAGTAGTATTTTGAGAAGAGGTAAGGAAGAGCTGCGTTCACTTTCCATCAACTCACTGGTTTTTCCTCAAAGGTTGTATACAGGTCCTGTACTTTTCTGCTCAGAGATCTCTGTTGTAGGGTGTCTCCAAAGTGCCTGCCTTTGGGCGATTAACAGTCGGGCTGGCTCTATGCTCAGTGCAACACTAAGATCTGAAAATAGTACAATGTAAGGGATTTACCTTAGAAGTTCCCTTCCCTTAGCTTGACCTTACAGTATTTGTACAAACTCACGCATCTTCCGTGTGGCATCTGCATAAACACCCATGCTCCTGCAGGGAAGTTTGCTCTGCTAGCACCTCTCCTTTCCCACACACTGCTATGGAAAACAGAACTGTGTTCCTGAACCAAGGACACGCTTGAAGTTCAGCATAGGTTCAAAACACATACAGACAAACTCCATTTTCTCCAGCCTTGCTCTGAGATAAGATGACTTGAACGGCATGTTTACCTGAACGCATCCAAGGAAGCCAGATAGAGGACGGCTCCAGCCTGGAAGCCAGGCAGTACTTTTAGCATAACACTACGTACAAGTTAGTTCTGCTTGGTAAACTGAATTTATCTGCTGTAACACAGCTTAGGGATTACAGCTGCCTTGCATCTTTCTGTCCTTGTCAGCAAAGAAAATCCTTCAGAAAAGCACTTTCACACCACAGTGGGAATTTTAAGGGGAGGAGGAGATATTCTCATCACTGTGACCTCAAAAGGAGCAGTTTTAAAAACAAAGTACACGTAACCAATGGCATTTCAGAACTGCTAGTGGAGGACTGTTTCTACAAGCACCGTGCCTCCATACAGAGTATCATCTCTAAGTAGATTCTCCCAGGGGAAGCGTGCCAATAGAAGATACATGTCACTTCTTGGAAGAAATTTAAACCTGGCTGGTGAAGTTCAGAGTTTATTTTTGCTTAATTACGAACTGAGCACAGATTTATGCAAACTGGATTTAATTAAAATAGGTAAAATTAATGGGTGGCTATCAAATACAAACTGGGGGTGGAGTGCCAGACTTCAGCTTTGCTTACCTCAGTTGTAAACTCTTATGTCAAATAGCCTTGGATAGATAAACAAGTGAATGGATGGACTGCATTCCAGTTTTAACTGCTCTGTTTAGACTGATGAGGGTACTACTACTAATTTGAAGACATTACAGTGGTTCCACATCCAGTGGCAGCACTGCATGAAATAACTTTAGCAGACCTCAAACCTCATCTGCTCAGTATCATTCCTTTCCTAGTGCTAGCATAGCTTGTCCAAGCATACAGAGCCTGGATCAGGGAACAAATCTGCCCAAAATTTAACTGCCGCAGGCGGATTGGTTATTCTATTTCTTGTCTAAGTGTCTTCAACCGAGAAATACAAGATCTTTTCAGGACTGCTGAATTACAAATCCTATGGATCTATGTCCATAAATCCACTGCAGGCCCCGTCCATCATAGGCAAAAGCTTAAGGAAGGGCTCTGACAGCTGAGCTTAAGTATTTTGTGACAGCCTATTACTCTCACCTAACAGCTCCATCGTCTCCAGGAGGAGACCTTTCTCATGGCAGAATGGGTGCTGGGGCTTCAGCTGCTCCCTTCCGCTAGGTTACAATGCAATAAATACAAGTTCATGACAAAACATCAAAATACAAACTGAGGGGCTGGACACAATCCAAGTTGTACTGTAAACTCCCTACAAGAGTTTGATTTAATCTCCGAAGAGTCCTCCTTCCTCCTTTTAGCAAGGGCTAAAAAAAACCCCCTAAAATAAACAGAACACCCTAAAACAAACAAAAAGAGGACTACTGAACCCACATATTCCTTTTATAATGAAACTCTGACAACATAACAGCAAAAGCAGACTAACGGGGATTTTTAAAGTTAAAGTCTTTAATTCTTCTGCATAAAGACAAAATGCCAAAAATGTAACGCATTCCCTTATTTACAATCATCATAAATCACATGGAAGCATGCACACTGGAACAACAAGGTTCTAAATATTACTTCTTAAAAAAGTCCTGTAGAGATGTGTTCCTTGTATACACACACTCCACGCTCTGTGGCATGTGACTGAGCCACCCGTGTGCCGGGACAGTATTGAACCCCATGCCTGAGCATGCCTGGAAATAACATTTTGGAAGGGACAGAGTAGTTTCTGGGGAAGCAGCTTGCTTCCACTTCAGTAGCACAGTGGGCTTTTGGCCCTTGGGTACACTGCCAGCCCCACAGCAAGGCTGTGTCATCCTGAGCACCGCCACAGTTCTGCAGTGGCCTTGTGAAGAGCCAAACTGAACTACTGCAAAGAGACAATTCCCAGCTCTAACAGACATTTGTATCCCAGTACATGCTACATAAAATGCCACAAGGACTGTAAAAAATAACCTGGTAACTGGCACATGAATCTGGTCTAAACTCCACTGTAGCCTCAGCCCTCACTTTTACCTTCCGAGCACAGTGCTAGAGAGTAAAACAAAGGAGAGCTTATCTCAACACCGTCACAACCCTTAGCCTGGACACCCCATGCCTAAGAGCATACTGCTGGTCACCTCCAATTCCTGTGGGAACAGCAGGCACTGAACTCATCCTCATACTCTCAGCAGGAGATTGCCTCTTCAGGTCAGGCTGCAACATACACAAAAGTAAAATCCAGGTATTTAGGCTGTGTTGCTGTTCAAACAGTCACTCCTCCCCTTAAAGAGAGGGAGCTGATTTTGATAAACCATCTACCCTTCCTTTCTCTTCTCTCACTAGGCTTAGGCAAATGCTAGCTTAATATATCTTATCTCAGAGAATAGTAAATAAGCCAAATGGAAGATCACCCAATTCAAAAGCTAAGAACAGTTTGTCTTTAACAACTGGAGAAAGGTTGGAATTATCTACATTATTTTGAAGCAGTTCTTCAGGCTGGATGTACAATTCTGGTCCAGTAGAGGAAACAGGGTTTAACTCCTTGGTTTAAGGGGTGGCACTCTTCAGTCCGACTTGATATTGGACCAATTCACCAGCATAACATGAGCGCACTCTAAGTAGCATGATCTCCAAACGGCAACAGCAGGATCCATCAACTGAAGTAGCCTTTACAGTATGATGTACATGGCATCTGCCAACACAGGTAAAGCAGAAACATTCTCACAAAAGCTTTAAGGAACATCCATCATCATCGTAGCACAGACTTAATGGAATCTGAAGTTTTACACTTGAGGCAGAGCTTGCAGAAAACAATCTATCCTTAAAGATCTGGAGAAACCTAAACAAAAAGGTAGATAACAGCGTTTTATAAATATGATAAATCTAGTCATTAACAGCAAAACATTTACTATCTTAAGCTGCAGTATTACAGTAGCAGTAAATGGAACACAGTACTGCATATGGTGAGCTTAAAGCACAGTATAAAAGACAAAGCCATACTGTCCATACTAAAGAAAGTGTTACAGATAGTCTAACACTTTGAGAGCAAGTTATTGGAAAAACAAAGAGAATACTACATACCCTGTGTTGCTGAAGTATTTGTCAACGAGAAAATGAAGTAGTTGAGCCTATTTTTCCCAACCCCTCACATCACTTTCACCTAAATGTTATTAATTCATAAAATAAATTTTTCTCTCAATTCTAATTAGTCTGCCATATCTTAAATATCCTACTAAGTTTTTTTTCCTTTAAAAAGCAACCAGATACATTCAAAACTATAAACATTTAACCAGGCTCCAAACAGCCACATTTATTTTTCCTGTTTAAGAGAGAAAGTTTCTTTAAGCAAAAAGGCGGGTGGTGTGGAATTCTACCATTCACTTTCCACAGATGAAGTTCCTCCCATTTGAGAGTTAGAGCTCATCACATCTAAAAACCATGATTAAAGGCAGTGTCTCTCTCTTAATATTGATCTTTGCGTCCCAGGAAACCAATGTTTTGCTCCACAGAGAAGCTATTTAATTCACTTTCTACATTTTACATGTCACAAAGATAATTTTTCAATTAGAATGAGTGATTATGAACCCACTGAGTATAAAAACTCCTTGTTAGAGACTTATTTACAACAAAGACAACTGCAAAGCAGCTAAATATCAACTGACTATCTAGCAGACCAGAATAGAACAGAATAGAATTGTTTAGGTTGGAAAAGACCTTTAGGATCATTGAGTCCAACTGTCAACCTAACACTGCCAAGTCCACCACTAAACCATGTCCCTAAGCACCACATCTACACGTCTTTTAAATACCTCCAGGGATGGGGACTCAACCACTTTCCTGGGCAGCCTGTTCCAGTGTTTAACCACTCTTTCAGTAAAGAAATTTTTCCTC